TTCTTGATAACCAAGTAGCCAATATATAGCGCTACTTGGCTCGTGTGGTGTTGGCTACCAGTTTTCCCACCCATACATTGAATGAAATGGGAAACAATGTATTGCCATACTGTAGACATCTGTTTCTTCTCAGTCTTCGTCGGCGACTTTTTGAGTTCAGAGTCGGAGTCCTCCTTCAGTGGCGACTCATAGTGAATATCGTCAAGGAAGTTGATGATAGCTTCACTATCAGGGTCTTTTATAGAGGGAGGGACTTTGGGAAGCTGCGAAGCTGAATGGATGGTTGCAGGCCCAAAGTCCATCATGAGGTTATTGATCTGGCAGGAGATCTTGATGGTGGAGTTCCTAAGAGAGTCCTTGGTAGACTTTGCGACAGCAGTGAACTAGAACTGCTTCAATACGTCTTTCACCATCATCGGTTAGAACATAAGAGCATATCCTAGAACATTATTCTTTAGGAAGATGGTAGCATCCGCTAAATTGTTTTTTGTCTGCGAGAATGTCAAGAAGAGCAAGGTGTTTGTTTGTCTTGAAGCTGCATTCTTTGATGCCAAAGTTCACATTGAATGCACCGACCATTTCTGGTCAAAAAGTATTTAAGAAGAAAAGAAAGATGCACAATGATTTAAAACAAATAATAGAAAGGATTTAATAAAATTTTCCTTCAAAAATCCAAAAAGAAAAGTAGGTTTTCGAGTTTAGATTTAAGAATCAAAGTTATGTAATAAACCAAGAAGAATAAAAGTTTTTACAACTTGTTTTATTTGTATTTTAAAGAAGAAGAAGAAGATACAAACAAGTTTCTTATTTAGAACAAACAGCCAAAAATATTTAACAACAAAACTAATTTGTTTGAAGTAGAAGAATAAAACAAGTGCAAGAACGAGTATGAGATAGACATATGGGTGAAATGAGAGCGAAAGAGAAGAGAGGAAAATGACGGTTCGTGAAAAGCTTTGTCATGATGATTTCTTTGCACATCATGCGATTTTGATTGGTTGGGGAATAACTATGGACAACGTGTGTCAGAAACGCACGTGAGAACCGTTCTTTATTCAAAAAGATTTTAATGAGTCATAAAAATATGACCATTCAAAAACTTTTGATCTTTTAAAACATTTTGATCACTAAATACAGAAAGTGTTCAGTGATGGTTTTAAGATGTTAGAGAAAGAAAAAGAGTTTAGAGAAATAGATGTACCTTGGGAGAAAAGATACATTTAGATGAGAGTTTAGTAATAGATTGAGAAACACTTAATCTTTTCACATATAGTACTGAATTATGCTTACCACTGAGAAAATTAATCCTCAATGTTCAGCATTCCAATTTCGCTGATTAACAGATTAAACCTTGTTTCATCAAGGGATATTGTAAACAGATCAATGAGCTAGTATTCAGTAGGTACAAAGTGAAGTTCAATATTACCATTTATAACATGATCTCTGATAAAACGATATCTGATCTCAATATGTTTGATCTTAGAGTGAAGTACATGATTGTTTGCAATAGCGGTAACACTTGTGTTATTATAATAGATAGGGATCTTTGATAGGTGAAGATCATAGTCACTAAGCTGATTTTTCATCCAAAGAATTTGGGCACAACAACTTACAGCGGCTACATATTCAGCTTCATCGGTAGATTTGGACACTGAGTCTTGCTTCTTACTTGTGCAGCTCACCAACTTTCAACCAAGGACTTGACAGCCTCCAGTGGTGCTCTTCTTATCTATCTTGCATTATGCAAAATCACTATCTGCATAACCGATTAGGTCGAACACTGATTCTTTGGGATACCAAGGACCTAGATTATGTGTACCCCTTCAGATTTCTGAATATTCGCTTTTACAACGATCGGATGAGATTCTTTGGATTCATCTTGATTCTATAAAAGTTTATACATAACAGTTTGTAGAGGAGGGGATAAATACAAACACACATTTTTCATTTTTTAAATTCGTTTATTGATAACAGAAGATCGATACATAATTTAAAGACTGTTGCAGAAGAAGATAAAATTAAGAACTTATCTAAACAATCTCAGAAGCACACAAGTTACACAGAAGATAGTAAGAGAGAAAGTGATTGCTTAAGAATGTTCTTAAAAAGGCTTGTGTATGCTTATGTAAGCTTACTGAGAATAGAGTCTTCTTAGCTATTTATGACCATTGCATTTAATGCAAGTCAGAGGGTACAAAACATATGGCAAACTTCTATAGGAGAGTTTGTCCTATGTCTTCAGATATACATGTTTTTGGCCGTATACAAATAGTTGTCTTTCACAAAGTAGGTAAGCACGCTTGAAGACTATAGAGTAACTTTGTACATGTGTTTTACTATGTGAAGTATGGGGTTGTCCTTTGTGTGCCGGAGGATAAGATAAAAACTAATCTTGTAAAGCAAGATTCATTTGATCGTTGACACTAATTCAACTCTAGAGTTTCTTCAATGTTTGTTGAATCTTGGTTATATTTCATACTTTGATTTAGACACGCTTGCTATCACTGAATCCGCTTCAGATCACAAACTGTTGTTTCTATCTTCATCTATATTCTCAACATTGTTGGAGGTTCTTTTGGTGTGAGTTTTGTCTTCATGAAAAAATACTTATGCTTTAGAGAAGTTTAGAATACATGTTCAGCGATCACTGAACAGACTCAAAGATGATCGCTAAAGCTGAACAGAAACAAAAGTAAGTATTTTGTGCTAAGTATAAAAGGTCATCATCAAATCATTGAGAGAGTTTAGATCAACACTCACCTTTTTTTCGTTTGAGATTTCGAGGATGAAATCAATTTCAAGGGTGGAAGGATTGTAGCTCTCGAAATTTCACGTTACTTTGGGTAAACTCTAAAACTAGAATTAATCAAGGTTACGACTTCTATTAGTTTCGTTTTAGAGTAGTTGCGTACTTATTAAAAGTCCATCTGAGTTTAATCTTGAATCGAGCATCAACCTTAACAATTTAGACATATTCTAGGAATGTGCGACCCTTGTGATGGTTACCGCCTTATTTATTGTATAGTAAGTAGAAATCCCGGCCAGGTGCGACCCTTGTGATCATGACGCTACCATTGCAATGTCATGGGCGTGAGTTAAGTCAAGGACACGGACTACCTTTGTGCCGTAACCCTAGGGTCACATGGTAGTGTCGCCCATTTCACTCCAGAGTATTAAAGTCGGATTTTCAAGCTTATTCTCTTCATTTACTCCACATCACACGCACCCTCTTCACTTAAAACTTCCAAGAAAAACCCCAAGTCCAATTTTGGTGCATTCAAGGAGCATTTATTGGTAGCATTCATCAAAGCTTAAGTGTTCGGTTTGAGGAGTCAAAGATCTTCATATTCTCCTTCTTGTTTTGCTAGGTTTTTATGTTTTCTTCAAAACCTAAATTGTGAGTTCATTCTTTACGTTTACTAAACCATATACATGTCAAAATGATGTATTTTACTTCTTCTAAGTTCTGGTTCATGTATTTTGTATTTGGTTTATTTTGGACCATCTAGGTCAAATTTGGACATTTTGGGGATTTTGCATATTTTGATAAAACAAGCATGGGAAATGGTTTAAAATACTTGGTTTAAATTTACACCTATTTTAGAGGTGTTACAAGGTTGTCATTTATCTTCTATTCTTTTGGGTTGTAAAACGTTTTACATTTTACCCATCTTGGGTGATTTATATGATTATAGGTATCGTTTCTGCATTGACTTATGGTTTACTCCTATTTTAAGGTGTTACAATTCTTGCTCTTCCCCCTTTGGCAGCATCCACTAATTTGAAGCTTAATTTGAAAGCCATATTTCGATCTGGACGTTTTCAGGATTCCGCTACTATCTGAATGCAATATCCGCTAAATTAGAGAATGAGACTGCCTTATCACAGTTCTTCTTCTCCAGCAAGTAATCCAAAATCCAGTCAAAATCTAATTTAAATCTAGTGAGACTAAAACCCTGCCTAAAATCAAACTCCTAATATTAAAAACCAAATGAAAAACTAAATCAAACCCAAAATAAATTGTAGAATGAAACTAAATCTAACCCTAAATCAAATCAAAGCCCAAAATGAAATAAAAAACCAAGGTTTTTCGTCGGTAAACACAATCAGCTTAGGTCACAAATCTGAGTTAGTGATGGTTGTTCGTCATCCTGGTTCCTCTCTATGATTCGCTCCATATCTAGGGTGGGTTTAGGTCACAAATATGGAGGTGGTGGTTATCACGACGACTCTTGGTTAGGAAAGATGAAGATCCGTGGAGGTTGAAGGTGTATGGAACAAAGAAGGTGGTAGGAGGGTGGATCTATGGATGGAGAAATGGTGGTGGAAATGGGCGGGGGGTTTTTTTTTGATTAACCTAGATTTCCAACCCGCTATGCAAGCCGACTAATCACAGAACGACCACCTACTTTGCAGATAGCCCGGAGTCACCGTATTTGAACCTCTGTGGCCGCAAGGAAAGTTTTATTCCTCTTTGGGATAAAGTGGAGGTGGGGTAGCTCACAGGAATGAGAGGAGGTTAGTGATTAGAAAGTTAGGGCGAAGATGGGAAAAGATTTGTTTGGTAGGATTAGGGTTTTGATTTCCTGGAGATAAAGCTTCCATGATAGTGAACATGTGATTTAAGGGACAATGTGGTTATTCGTTGATAGATTTATACGTATTTATAATAATAATAATAATAATAATAATAATAATAATAATAATAATAATAATAATAATAATAATAATAATAATAATAATAATAAATATTATATTATAAAATATTTGACAAAAATTCTTAAAAACCATTTTTCATGTATGAAGTGTAAGATTTATTTAATTAATATGGCCTAAACTATTAATATCATTATATATATAAGTTTATTAATCCATAATTATTCTCTTATTATTAATTATTCCCATATTTACATGCAGGTCCTCTAACTATTGTGATGGTCAATATTGGTCCCTATGTATTAACTATTTATATGGTGGTTATCATTCATTTATGTTCTCTATTACACTAATTCTCAAACACTCTCTCTCTCTCTCTCTCTCTCTCTGTGCAAACTAACGAAGCATCAAACAGGGGATAAAAAATAGAGAGATGATCAAAAACACATACAACAATTAATCCATCATCATTAAGGGTAATTAAGAGGACTATTGAAGGATAATCAATGGCGTCTTCATCTTCTACAAATCAACATCCTATGAACTTCTCTTCAAGTATGTATCTTTATTCTCATCTCTTATTAAGAATTATGAGATTGATCCTGTTAATATGTTTGATTGAATTAACATGTGGTATCAGAGCATGGTGAAATTTCTCTTGTTTCATCCAATTTCGTTTTCTTTGAACCCTAATTTTCTATGGGAAACGAACCCTAATTTCTGTTAATTGACAATTTTGATGCATGTTAAAAATCGATTTTCTTATTTCATGTTTTAATTAATTTTGAAACCATTACCAAAGTGGGTCATCAAAATACTTCTTTGTGAAACCATCACATTCATGGAACAGTGAGTCATCGATGGAATAGAGTGGGTCATCAAAATACTTTTTTGTTTTTATATATATGGTTGGAATATTATGAATCATAATCTCCCAACCCCTTATTTGCTTAGTTTGTTGAATCACAGCCCCTTATTCGTTGGTTCAGCCCCTTATTTGCAGCCCCTTATTTGCTTAGTTTGTTGAATGGCAACTTTTATATTGATTTTGATAACCGGCCCAACGAATGGTTATCTAAATTAATATAAAGGTTTAGTTATGCCATTATGCCATTAATTATATGAAAATTGTATGTATTATCACGCAACGAACCCAACGGTTAATTGTTGATAATATGTAATGTATTATTAGCCTTATTTGCATAGACTTTGCATTTTGCCCAACGGTGATATGTGATTTATATGTATGCTTAATATACCTATAGAAGTTTAATAATTTAATTGTTTTGCTTGACCAAYGTTAGGTTGGCAATTAAATTATGAATTTATCAATAATTTCATTGTGTTCTAATTAGATTATATGTTATTATTGTCCTTATTATACCCCTTAATTGTTTTGATTTTAATGCTTAAAGAGCCTAATTACACTGATACTGAAATTTCAGCCCCTTTGGTCGGTCATATTGGCTTACTTTCCTCCATTGAACCTCTTAATGGGATGAACTATTCCTCATGGATTGAGCAAATCAAAATAGCACTTGGAGTGATGGAACTAGACTTTGCATTAAGGGTTGATCGCCCTCCTCCCTTAACAGATAAATCTATGGTTGAGGAAAAACGTGTTAACGATCAGTGGGAACGATCAAACCGCATGTCTCTAATGATCATCAAGAACTCCATTTCCTTGGCCATTCGTGGAGCAATCCCTGATTCTGAAACGGCAAAATGATATCTTAACTCGGTTGAGGAGCAATTCAAAGGCACCTCTAAAGCCCATGCTAGTACACTTATCCTTAAAATGCTCACAACTAAATACGATGGAGTTAGTGGCGTACGTGAACACATATTGATAATGAATGACATGGCCAACAAACTTAAAAGTATGGACATGGAAATATCTGAAGGCTTCTTAGTTCACTTCATTATGACTTCCCTTCCGGCTCAATTCGGGCCTTTTAAAATTAACTATAATACTCAAAAGGAAAAATGGAAGATGAGTGAACTAATAGCCATGTGTGTTCAAGAAGAGGAGCGTCTAAAAATAGAAAAACCTGACGTTGCTCATCTTACCACCACTACTCCCAATAAGAGGAAGTTCAATGATGGCRCAAAGTTTTCACTYAAGGGGAATAAATCAAATACTGGTCCGAACAAGTCTCAGAAAACTGGTCCTAGTACAAGTGGAACTAAGAGAGAGGCCAAGTGTAGATTCGGCAAGAAACTTGGTCACACTCAGCACGACTGCCCAAAATTTAAGGAGTGGTTGKCAAAGAAAGGTACACCTACTTATTACATGATTTGTGAATCTTTTTCAATTAGTGTGCCTTCTAATACTTGGTGGCTAGACACGGGATCAATGATTCACGTYACTAATTCATTACAGGGATTCCATACAAGGAAAATACTGGAAAACAACCAACGGACCGTTAAAGTTGGGGACGGGAATGTAAAGAAGGTTGAAGCTATTGGTAGTATGGTGTTGTTATTACATGGAGGACATGAAATGGTTCTTCAAAACACTTTGTATGTACCTACTATAACTCGCAACTTAATATCTGTATCTAAACTTAAATATGAAGGATATAGCTTTTACTTTAATGATGATGACGATGATGTTATTATATATCGTCATAAATTGGTTGTTGGTTTTGGTAGATTGGAGGGTGACCTCTATAAACTAAACCTTGATAATAAATTTTCGGAATCGTTATTACCTTTGAATGTGAATATTTGTGAATGTAGTGATAAAAATAAGAGAAAAAGAGATAATGAAATATCATCCCGATTATGACATAAACGTTTAGGTCATATATCTAAAGAGAGGATGACACATCTTGTTAAAGATGGAATTATTGAAAATCTTGATTTCTCATATTTTGATCCATGTGTAAATTGCATAAAAGGTAAAATGACTAATAAGAACAAGAAAGGTGCAAACCGTAGTTCAAGCTTGCTTGAAATAATTCATACGGACATTTGTGGTCCTTTCCCTTCTGGTTTAGGATGATACAAATCTTTCATTACCTTTATTGATGATTATTCACGATATACCTACTTGTACTAATTAACGAGAAATCCGACTCACTGGAGATGTTTAAAACTTTTAAGGCTGAGGTTGAAAATCAACTTAGTTGTAAAATTAAAATAGTGAGGTCGGATCGGGGTGGAGAATATTATGGCCGACACACGGATGTTGGTCAAAGCCCTGGACCATTTGCTGAGTTTTGTAAATCTCATGGAATAGTCAATCAATTTACTATGCCAGGAACACCTCAACAAAATGGAGTTGCGGAAAGACGCAATCGCACCCTTATGGATATGGTGCGTAGTATGATTGCAAATTCAAGTCTTCCACAATTC